GTCTATATAATATACAGACCTGTATGGAAGTGAATGTCTATATAATATACAGACCTGTATGGAAGTGAATATCTATATAATATACAGACCTGTATGGATGTGAATGTCTATATAATATACAGACCTGTATGGAAGTGAATGTCTATATAATATACATACATACATATAAGGAAGTGAATGTCCGTATAATATACAGACCTGTGTGGAAGTGAATGTCTATATAATATACAGACCTGTATGGAAGTGAATGTATGTATGGAAGTGAATGTCTATATAATATACAGACCTGTATGGAAGTGAATGTCTATATAATATACAGACCTGTATGGAAGTGAATGTCTATATAATGTACAGACCTGTGCGGAAGTGAATGTCTATATAATATACAGACCAGTATGGAAGTGAATGTCTATATAATATACAGACCTGTATGGAAGTGAAGATCTATATAATATACAGACCTGTGCGGAAGTGAATGTCTATATAATATACAGACCTGTGCGGAAGTGAATGTCTATATAATATACAGACCTGGGAGTGAATGTCTATATAATATACAAACCTGGGATTTTCAAATGTTTTTTGAAAATATGAATGCCTAAATCTATTTTTTTGTCATCAATAAAATTTTCCAAATTTGTCATATTTATTAGACTGAAAAGCTTTCAAACTGAGTGAAATCAACACTGTGACAGTGAATAAATACAAAAATTCAAAAATAGATGGACAAGTGTTTTTAAATTAGAGAAGACGTATAATTGCAACTCGACCAAACAGCTAGTGGTTTTCGCATTTTTTGTAACTTAAACACGTTTTAAATAATCTGAGACTTGAGTGATTTTTATAAGTGTTTTGCTGTTTTAATATTAATGGGAGCGTCGCAGTGGAAGTGGCCATATCATAACAGGTCTGTACTCCTGCCATGTTATAAAATAATCGCGATATAAAACCATTATAATTTGAGAATTTCCATGAAATCTATGCTCGTACGTACATAGCATAAACTACTGCCAAAGTGAAAACGGAGCCCATGGGCATAACTATGGGTATAGGTACATCTGAAAACAATAGATGGTAATGTAACGGTTTAAATGGCAATAATACACAATCATTTGACCGTTAAATCGAGACCGATGCAGTAGCTGACCCCGAAATGACTTCGTGACCTCGACGTCTATTTGCCGCGAAAAATAAAGACCTGTCAGCTGATCTTTTTTTTTTTTCAAGATGGCGGACCGTGAACGCAAGTCGAAAAAACTTGTGGCTTGTCCCATTTGTGGTGAAGAGTATGGGATGTTTAAGATCAACGCGCACGTCGAAACCTGCTTGGCTAGTTCTGAAGAAGAAAAAGAACCCATCGTGACTGGCGATAACGACAGTCGCGACGAAAGCTTTGATCCACCAGCGAAGAAAAGACATCGGGCTGATTCTTCATCGTCGTCGTCTGCAAGTCCATCATGTAAAAGCAGCAGTGAAAGAGCCAAACGTAAACAAAGTCCCATCCGTTCAACCCGGAGGCGGAGCGCCCGCGAAGAAAGCAAGACAAATCTATTTCAGAAAGCCGCTGCGTGGGGATCGCTTGGTAATCCGAAGACTCAGTCTAAACCAAGTACTCGACGAACCGAAAGTACTGGACCTGTCGTTGCCAGTCAAACGAATATTTCCACAGAATCACCCAAGCCATTGTTTGCTCCTAAATCCATAAATTTCAAGATAAAGCAGGAGGTTTCGAACTCGAATCACGACGGTAAAAAACCCACAGAAGGACAGAGTATCTTCGCTATTATGGGACAAAATGCACGAGGAAATGCAGAGAAAAAATCTGCAGACTTTGCTCCGTTAGCGGAGAAAATGCGTCCGTCGTCATTGGACGATTATGTAGGACAAGACAAAGTGATTGGAACCAATACAATGTTGCGGTCTCTGATAGAAGCGAACGACGTACCTTCCATGATACTATGGGGACCACCGGGGTGTGGAAAGGTATATTATTTGACAGTTTTGCAATATAACTTATTCTTTGTTTAATTTAATGACCTTAGCTGTTTTTCAATTATAATTATTAATACCTTAGAAGTTGGCCAGGAATATTGAAATTTAATTAGCTCTCACAGTTTTTGTCAGTTTCATCTGAAATTTTCACAATATTTTGACAATATCTTTACGAACAAATGTATATTTTCAAAGAGCCTTCAGGTGTGTTTTTATAGCTTTGCATTCTCAGACAATTCAAAATGTGCAATAATGATCAGGGTGGAGTATACAACAAACACCCCGCTTCATAATTTACAACCAACGAACATAGTATGAAAATTTAACGTGAAATAAACAACAATTGGTAGAGCTATTTAAATTTGAACAACACAACTGGAGATAATGGCTAATTTGCATAACCATTCCCTTCAAAAAAAATTTTTGCTGATGTTTATAATTAAAATGGCTGTTATAGTCACAAATTTAAACTGTTTATCGTTTTGTCAAAGGTCATATATGGTACATAATATGTGCTTAGACTTATTCAAATTAATCACATTTGTTGATTAGAATAGCTTATTATTATTATGTTATTGCATTCTTATATAATTATCAGACTTTATAAATGCAAACTTACAAACTCACGGTGTGCTTGCTGTGTCGTTCAAACAGTGGTATAGTAATTCACGTTGCATGTGCTTTTACAGAAAAAAGTATTATATAAAATAGCATCATCAATAATTATATTTGGTAAAGAAAGAAGATTTTCTTGGCAATTTTAGTAATTTTCAACTTTAGATGCATAATAAAATTATGGCTGAAGAATGAAATACATAAGTGATTTAGGCTTACTACCTCCAGATTATATTTAGTGATTGTGTGCACTATCTTCATTTTCGTAGACCACCCTAGCCCGGATTGTAGCCAGCAATGCTAAGAAGAACAGCAACAGTAGACTTAGATTTGTACAGTTGTCGGCGACGACAAGCAACGTAAGTGAAGTCAGAGAAGTGATCAAAATTGCTCAGAATGAGCAAACCATGTTCAAAAGAAAGACGATTCTTTTTATAGATGAAATCCACAGATTCAACAAGTTACAACAGGTGAGAAATGTTTTATGAGATCGGGTTAGGTTTTGAAATGCAGAATGGAGGATTCTTGAAAATATTGCCTTCTTTGCTTTAAGCATTTAACAAAAATGTGTTTACTCCTTTCAAGGACACGTTTTTAATGCACATCGAGAATGGTACAATCACGCTAATAGGAGCGACAACTCAGAATCCATCATTTCAAGTTAACTCGGCACTACTCAGTCGTTGTAAAGTGGTTGTACTGGAGAAACTCTCCATACAGAGTATGGAAAACATACTCACAAAAGCCATCAAGTCATTACATGGGTGTATACTGGAAGAGAAAGAAGAGCCAGCTACTGCTATAGAGAAATATCATCATGCTGAAAGGTTGGTAGTGATATTAATGATCTGTTACCATAGTGATGGCTAGAGATGAGATTTGCAGTTTGCAATTGGAATTGGAGGCAAACATTAGTCTGTATTTAAATTATTTCCAAAGATTGTTAACTCTACATTCTATTCATATGCAAATGTTGACTGGTTGCCACAGCAACAATGGCCAGTAGCAAACTAAACAAGTATACATGATCTTTTATTCACTGGAACACTAAATCAATAGTAAATGAAAATTTAGATTTTGTTTTGCAGAGGTGCAACAAAGTAATAATAAATAAGTAATAAAGTAATAACACATTGTCGTTTTATTGACTGGCATTCAGTTGGCGATGTGGTAACGCTTCAAACACAAGAGTTTTTTTTTGCAAAAATGCTTGGTTCAAATTATATCTATTTTGTTAAAAAAATAAAAAAAAAATAATAAAACAAGAAAAAATGTAAATAGAGAAAATGTGATGTTGAAAGGATGTGGTGATGAAATTCTGTTGCTAAATTTGTGAGTGATACGATAGTTTACGGCATTGTTAGTTGTTTTGTATTGTTTTATAGGCCAGAATTATTTGTTGAAAGAAACGCTTTGAGTATGCTATGTAATCTTTGTGATGGTGATGGGAGAGCTGCTCTTAATTGCCTAGAGATTGCAGTCCATTCACAAGTAGCTTCACATCGAAGTGGAGGATTAGACAAGATGAATAGTGATTACGTTGTTGTTAAGCTTGATCACATCAAAGAAGGGCTGCAGAGATCACATATACTTTATGACAAAACGGGTACTGTAACTGTTTGTATTTATTTCTATTCAATTAGTAAATCTTACCTGCATTGTAACAATAACACAATAACTCCAATAATATTCAGCCAATTGCTATGAGACTTAAATATATGGTTAATCTGTAGGTATAGTTGGCCTGTATGGTTTTTAGAGTTGATCTTTCACAAATTGTGTTTTGGGTGATTTTTGAAAGTTTTTATTTCAGCAAATATAATATGTCTTTTGGGAAACTTTACATCTTGCAAGTAAAAGATCAGAAGATCAAATCCCTTGTTAGAAACTTTTTTTTTTCTTTTCTTTTGAATGAGGAATTTTCATGTGTTTTTTTTCCCCATTTTCTCAGCAATTTTCTTATTATATCATGTATCAATGGAGGACGCGCTTGTACATTTTGTTCATAACTTAAGTGTTTAACATTTTCTGTGTAATAACAAACATCTTAAACTAGGATATTTCTGAAATATTCTCACAGTTTTCTAAAAGTGAACTAATCTCATTCAATATGTTGTGTTGTTTACAGGGGAGGAACATTATAATTGCATATCAGCAATGCAGAAATCTATCCGTGGTTCCGATGCCAATGCATCATTGTACTGGGTAACAAGAATGTTACTTGGAGGTGAAGATCCCTTGTATATTGCGCGAAGACTTGTGAGAACTGCTAGTGAAGATATTGGTAAGATTTGGTTATTCTTTCATTCTCTGTCGCCTGGCGTTCACGGTTTCATACATCATGGTTATATAGTTCAATGCCAAAAAAATATCCAGAAATTTATTCATTTTGCAATAATGTTGACTTAAAAAAAATTGGGGGTCACCAGCCTAATTTTCAAGAAAATGATAGTTATATTTTAGTGGATGGTTGCCATTTTTGCAGTATTACCAAAGGTTCTTATGGCCGAGATATTATGCCATTATAATTCATATATTGTTAATGATGGTGTGCTTTTTGTTGTCCTGAATTATTTAAAAAATGTGGGATTTAAATTGTGTCAAAAAATGCAATTTTTCTTTAAAGCAGGAGGGTAGTCACCTGTGCACACGCAGGAATTGAGTCCCAAGTGATAATAACAACACACGCTAAAAATGCAAAGGTTCATGGGTAGACACTTATTTGTAAACAATGACATGCTATGACCATCTGACGCATGCGCAGGTGATGACTCCCCCGCTTTAACATTGTGATTTTTGAAAAAATATTAGGACAAATTTCTCACAAACATCACTATAACACAAACCAATGAACATTGTCATGCGATTAATGATCTTTCTACCGTAAGTACAGAATGTTAGAAATCATTTTATGATAAATAATCCCTATACTCATTATGTTA